CCCCCCCCGTGTGAGCCATACTTGGGATATGCTGGGAGAGGGTTGGGGCGGGCGGTGGGGGGGACAGGGAGGGGACCGGGAGGCATTAGGAGAGGGCGGAAGGGGGAGGGAAGGGATTTGGGATATACTGGGAGCAGTCCGGGGAGGGATTAGGTGGCACTGGGTTATGCTGGGATGAACCGGGAGCGGTCTGGGGGCACTGGGATGTACAGGGAGGGCACTGGGGGGTGGGTGGTCACCGCGGTGTACTGGGATGAACCGGGACGGGAGTGGGTGCACTGGAGCGCATCGGGGGCTCCAGTCGCGGGGTCTGGGGGGGCTCTCACTCTTGTCCCCGCCCCCAGCTGGACCCTCCCCCCGGCCCCGCCCCTCGACACCTCCCCCACCTCGGAGAGCTCCGCCTCCAGCGGCCCCAGCGTCTGCGGTGAGGGGCGTGGCCTCGGAGGGGGTGTGGCCACGAGGAGGGCGTGGCCTCGCCACGGGAGGGTGCTCGGTGATGGGCGTGGCCTCGGGGGCTGTGTTGGTGTTCGTGAGAAACGGGAAGGGGGGGGGGGGGGGGGGGGGTGGGGGCCGGTGGGCGTGGCCTGGGAGGGGGCGCGGACAAGACCGGCCACGCCTTCTCCCCTCCAACCCCAACAGGGGGCTTCTCGGACACCTACGCGGCGCTGTGTGACTACAACGGGCTGAGCTGCCGGGAGGAGGTGCAGTGGGTGTGTGGCGGGAATTGAGGGCTGCGGGGCGTGGGGGTGGCTTGAAGGTGTTCTCTGGGGGGCTTTGGGAGGTTTATGGGGTCCCTGGGGGCCTTTGAGAGAACGTATGCGGCAGTGTTTCGGAGGGTACGTGGGGTGTTTTGGTTGGGGCGATGGGGTTTATGAGAAGCTTTCTGGGGGGGCTCTATGGCATTCCTAGGGGACCTTGAGAGGTCCGTGGGGAAATCTTGGGGGGGTCCTGGGGGATCACTGGGGGTCTCAGTGTTCTCTTTTGTCCTGAGGGATTTATGGGGATATATGTGGGGGTTTGGAGGTGTTTGAGATGCAAAGAGAGCATGGGGTTTTAGGGGGGTCGATGGTAGTTTGTGGGTTCAGCACCAAGGACAGCGTCGAGAGAGGGCTTGGGCTCCACGGGGCTGCTGGGAATCCTTGGGGTCCTTCCGGGGACCCTTGGGGGGTCTCTGGGAGGCTCCAGGGGATTTTGGGGGTCCTGCGGGTCAGTGGTGGGTCTATGGGGTCTTTGGATTTCTCTGGGGGGGTCTCTGGGGGGCTATGGGGGTTTTGGGGTCCCCCCAGGACGTGGACACGCTGTACCATGCGGGGGAGCGGAGATGCTTCGACCTGAGGGACTTCAGCCACTTGGAGAGCCGGTGATGGTGGCACTGGGGGCACTGGGAGGGAATGGGTGTTACTGGGAGCACTGGGAAGAGGCTCGGGGCAATTAGGAGACACTGGAAGGGGAAATGGGGACACTGGAAGGGGTTTGGGAACTGTGGGAGGTACTGGGAGGGAGAATAGGAGTATTGGGAGGGGGCCTGGAGCACATGGAGGCGCTGGAAAGGCAGTGGGGAACTACTGGGAGGTCACTGGTGCTTACTGGGAGTGCCGGGAGGTGGCTCAGGGTTACTGGAAGGCACTGAGGAGTTCGGGTGCTTACTGGTGGCACTGATGCAGGGAGCTGGCACTGGCAGTGGCAGCACTGGGCTACAACCGCTGGTTCCGGGGGCTGTGCTGCCGTGATCTACGCCTGGTGGGTACCCCAAACCCAGGACCTCCCCATAGCCTCCACTTTGGGATCCCCTCGTTCCTTTCTTCCCTCCCAAACCCCCACTGTTGGAGTCCCCCGATCCTATTCTCCACTACCCCATTTTGGGGGAACCCACTGTCCCTTTGCACACACTTTGGGGTCATCACCTTGCCTTCTTGCCGCATTTCTGAGCTCCTTCTGTTTTCAGGGTCCTCCAACACCTCACTTCCATCTCAAAATCAGTCTTGGGGTTCCCATAACTTCCTCCATCCTGTCTTGGGGTCACACAAGTTTCGGGGCCCCCACAGTTTTGGGGATTCCCCCTGTCCTTCCGCACCATTTTAGAAGTCCCTCCCTCCCTTCACCCACCATACTCCTGTTTTTGGGTCCCTGCCCCCACCCCATTCTCAGGGTGCTCCCCATTTTGGGGTTCTGTCTCCAACGTTTTGGGCTCTCCCATGTTGTGGTGCAGAGCAGTGAGGTGCAGGCACAGGTGCTGCATGCTGTGCGTCGCTCACCTGCGTTGGAGGAGCTGATCCTGGACAATGTGGGGTTAAATGCGTATGCGTGGGGTCGATTCCTTTGGGACTTGGGCTGTGCACCATAAGTGGAAGGGGTGGGATTCTGGGGGGAACCTGAGGGGGGAGGGTTGGAATGGTTTTGAAGGAATTTCGGGGGGCGATTTTAGAGGTCTTGGGAGGGATTTGGGGGGGCCATACTGGAAGGATTTGGGGGAGTTTTGGAGGTTTGGGGGTTTTGGAGGGGTGGATTTTTGGGACATTATTGTGGGAATTGGGGGATTGTGGTTGATTTTGGGGGGTTTAGGGAGATTTGGGGCATTTTTGGTTGGTTTGAATGGTTTTGGGAGCGTGTGGGGGATTTGGGGGATTTTTGTCTTTTTAGGGGGGGAAATTTTAAGAGTGTTGGGGGTGTCAGGGTGGTATTGGTACATTTGGGAGGGAGGCGTGGGTATTTTGGTTGATTTGGGGGAATTGTTATGGGTTGGGAGTTTGGGTTTAGGGTTGAGGTTAGGAGATGTTGTATGGGTTTAAAGAGATCTGGTCCACTGCAGGTTTGTGAATGCACCCTCAATATGGAGGGATCTAAAATCTAAGTGGAATTTGGGAGGTTTTGGGAAGATCTTGAGGGGGTTTGGGGAGGATCCTGTGGGGTGCTTGGATGTTTCAGAGGGGTACAAAATTGGGGATGTCCCCTTTAGCTGGGGGAGGTGAGATTATGCAGGAACGGATTTAAGGCATTTGGATTCTTTTTGGTTGGGTGCATGAGGAGCGCTTGGGGAAGCCCTGGGGGGAATTTGGGGTGGATTTTGTGTTTTGAGTGAGATCTTGGTGGGTTTGGGGGGATTTAGGGTGAGATTTGGGGGCTTGGGGTGTTTCAGAGTTCGAGGTGCCCAAATGTGGCATTCCCCCCCCAAGGGACTTCGCCTCGCGGTTGGCAGCAGCGCTGGCGGCTCACCCAGACCCACCGCTGCGATGCCTGGAGCTGCCCCGTGGATCCCTGGGGGACAAAGGTGACCTTCACACCCCCACTGCTCCCCAGAATTCCTACGGCACCTCAGAGCCCCCATGGCACTGCAAACCCACTTACAGAACCTCAGAAATCTCCCTAACGTGCCAATTCCCCCATTGGACCTCAACTCCTTTTCTTGCACCCAGGAATTCTTCCTCCAAATCTTACCCCAAACGCCCCCTTCACACCCCCAGTTGTCCCCAGATCCCATTACGGGATCCCCTAAATTGCCCCCAAGTCCCCTGACTCCACGATTCCCCCACCCCCAGATCCCTTATTCGGTGATCCCCAACCTTTTGGGGTCCGCCCTTATTTTGTGGTTCCCCTCAATTTTGGAATCTTCTCCAGGCCTGGCAGCACTGAGTCAGCGCTTCCTGGGGCTGCCAGGGGGGCTGCGACGGCTACGCCTGCCCCATTGCGGCCTGGGGGCACGAGGTGGGGCCGTGGGGACTGTGCAGTGTTGTTGGGGCAGGGGGTGGTGAGAGCAGGGAGGGTGCGATGGGTATGTGGTACTGGAGGGATATGGGGGAGGGGAAAGGATATTAAGGGGCCATTGGGTGACCCATAAGGTTTTGGGCGCCTTGCAGTGTAATGGGGACCCATAGGGCTGTCGGGTGTCCACAAGAATATTGGAGTGCCTTCTAGATAATGGTATGCCCCATAAGGTTTTGGGGTGCCCATGGGGTGAAGGAGACCTACTGGGTAACGTGGAGCCCCGTGGGGATATTGGAGTGCCTGTGGGGGTGTTGGGGTGCCCACTGGGGTTGGTTGGTGGGAGGGGAAGATTGTGTTATTGGGATGCTTCTGTAGCATGGGGGAGCACTCTAAATGTGAACAGGTTACTGGTGTGAAACCGATTATTTTGGTACCAAAATATTTTTGGGGGTATCTATGGGGGTTGTGAGGTGCCAATGACTGCAGTGAATACAACAAATACTGTTGGGTTCTGGGGAGTCCCCTGGGGATATTGGGCTGTGCATGGAAATTTTGGATGCTTATGTGTGCTGTGGTTCTGTGTGCCTCCATGGGTTCCTATGGGTGTCCTCCATGCTACTGCGCCCCACCTGCCTCACAGGATTGGCGGCGCTGGGCCGGGCGCTGGGCGCAAACCCTGCTTTCCGCAGTGCCCTACAACTGCTGGACCTGGGCCACAATCCTGGGCTGCTGGGCAGCCCCCACGGCACTGTAGGATGGGAATGGGGTGCTATGGGGCAGGGATGGGGCTGTGGGGCACTGGAGGTCAATGAGGGGTACTGGGGTTTGGATATATGCTATGGGGCTGGAGTGGTGCTATGAGTTGGATAGGCTGTATGGTGTTGGAGGGGATGCTATGGGCTAGAACAGGAGTTGTGGGACTGGAGAAGTTGCTATGGGGTTGGAGAGGGGGTGTTGGGCAGGGTACAGTGGGATGCAATGGGGCTGGATGGGTGCTAAGGGGCTGGATGGGGTGGGTGGTAATGTGGGACTGAGTGCTATACAATGGAGCAGCCATGGGGTCAGGCCCTACTCCACACCTCCAGGACCTCTTTGCCTTCCTGGCTCAACCCAACGCCCTCCTGCACCTTGACCTGGCTTCCACTGACTGCGCCCTTGATGTGGTGAGGGGCTGTGGGGTCGCCATGGGGCTGCCGTGGGGCAGTCGTGGGGCTGATGGCCCCCTTGTGCCTCCCAGCTCTTCGGGGCGCTGCTGCACGGCTGTTGCTCACGGCTCAGCTACCTCAACGTGGCCGGGAACAGCTTCTGCCACCGGTCAGCTCCTGCCCCACATGTCAATGGTGGCTGTGGGGCAGGGGGCAGGTGGGGCCTGGGGAGGCGGTTGGGAGCCCATCGGAAGTTGGAGTACCCTAGTGGCCAGATAGGTGGTCCAGAATGTCATTGGGTAGATGGCCATCCCACTGTGTGGTAGAGCATCCCGTTGGGTGATAGAAAACCCCTGTGAGCACTGAGTGCCCCATTGGCCGATCGAGAAATGCCATTGGGCTGTTGAATAGTGGAAAGACCCCTTTGGGCATTGGAGCTCCCAGCTGGCCAATCTCTTGGGTGATCTAGAGCAGCATTGGGTGGTTGAACATCCTGTTATGTGTTCAGGAACCTCACTGGGTGGTCAGGAACCCCATTGGGTGGTCAGGAACCCCATTGGGTGGTCAAGTACCGTGTTGGGTGGTCAAGAACTCTGTTGGGTGTCCAAGGGCGCCATTGAGTTTTGGCCTGACCGGTTGACGCAAGGAGTGCCTGACTGACCCCAGACGAGTGGGGCTGATGGAACCCTGCTTCCACCTCCCCCCAGGAAGACCCGTGAGGTCCCACCCACCCTGCAGCAGTTCTTCTGCAGCACCTTTGCTCTGTCCCACATCAGCCTGGCAGGCGTGCGGCTGCCCCCTGATGCTCTCAGGTGAGCTTCGCCCCCTGGGGAGGCCCTCTGCCTTCTGGGGAGACGGAGATGTGGGAGCACCGTGACCTGCCCTCCCCAGGTCTCTCCTGCAGGGATTGGCTGCCAACACCCACCTGAGCGACCTCCACCTGGACCTGAGCAGCTGTGAGGTGGGGATGGGGGGCACGGCCCAAGGCTGGAGGGGCCTCGTGGGCACCCTCACATCGTTTTCTGTCTCTGTCCAATTCTTGGTGCCATCTTACAGCTCCGCTCACCAGGGGCTCGTGTGTTGGAGGAGCTGCTGGGGGGGCATCAGTGCCGTGGGCAGCCTGGACCTCTCAGACAATGGTGAGAAGAGGGAGAAACCCCGTCCTGGGGACTGGCCTGGGACCCCCTGCTGTCTCCATTTCTCCCCACACTTCTCTCAGGCTTTGATGCCGATTTGCTGACGCTCGTACCAGCCCTGGGGAGGAACAAGGCGCTGAAGCACCTCTGGTTGGGCAAGAACTTCAGTGTCAAGGCGCGGTGAGTGCCCTGCTGGACTCCCCTGGTTCCATAGGGCCTTCTGAGGGCCCCCCTCCCCACCAGCCCTGGAGGAGGTAAGCAGAACCATTGTTGGGCTGAGCCCAAGGAGGTCCATCCTAATGGCCAAAGCCGTGTCATGGAAGCCCACCAAGACCTGATGGGCCATGCTGTGCCCATGGCGGCCCACCAAGACCCAGAGTTCTCATTGACATCTTCTGAGACCCCAAGGGCCAGGTCGTGTCCATGTCCCACTGTTCTTTCTCCCCCCTTCAGAACACTGGAGGAGATCCTCCACAAGCTGGTTCAGGTCATCCAGGAGGACGACTGTGTGAGTTCCCCAGGGGACGGTGGGATGGCAGGTGGACATCCCTCCTGTGGATCCCCCAGGCCCCATCTCATGTTCTCTCTGGCCTTCCCGTAAGTCCCTGCAGTCGCTGTCAGTGGCTGAATCGAGGCTGAAGGCCAGGACCTGTATCCTGGTGAACGCACTGGGCAGCAATGCCTGCTTGGCAAAAGTGGACCTCAGTGGTAACCTCATGGAGGACATGGGCGCCAAGATGCTGGCCAAGGCCCTGCAGATCAACAGCACCCTGCGGTGGGTGGGTGGTTTCACGGGGGTTCAGGGGTGCTCTCTCCACCCCGATGTCACCTGTGGTCCCATGGCAGGAGCCTTAGCTGGGACAGGAACAACACAACAGCTGTGGGCTTCCAGGACATCGCCAGGGCCATGGAGAGGTGAGTGGGACCACCAGCATATTATACTGCAGGTGGACGCCCCATCTGGAGCATGTGAACATCAGGTTCAAACAACCAACCAGGTCTGGACATGATACCTGGATCTCCAGACAGGTCAACCAGTTTTTGGACCTACTTGCCAGTTCTAGACTGTGCAACTGACTATTCCATACAGGTTGATGAGTTACCAACTGATTTTAAACTGGTCAACAATTTTTAGACTGGGCAACCCATCGCAGACAAGTCAGTGGGTTCCCAATTAGTAAACCAGTTCTAGACTGGTCAACAGTGTCTAGATCAGACAACCCATCCCAAACTTGTCAATTGGATCCCAACCACTCAAATGCTTCTAGACTGGTCAAACATCTCTAGACTGGACAACCATCTCAGAGCAGTCAACTTTTCCAAAACGTCAATGGGATCTCAGCTAGTCAACTGGTTCTAGACTGGGCAACCGTCTCTAGACTGGTCAGTCATCTTTAGACCAGTCAGCTCATTTCAGTTCAGTCAATGGGATCCGGTCTGGTCAACTGGCTCTACAGTGATCAACCAGCTGTTGACCAATCAACCTGCTGTATTCCGTTGTCAATGGAATCCCAAGCAGATCCGTGTCCTCTCAACAGCAACCACACATTGACCTTCATGGCCCTTCCCCTCTGCGACCTCACAGCCGCCTACCGTAGTGCCCCGGAGCGGACAGACACTGGTTGGCAGCAGGTGGGTGGAGGCACCTGGAGATTCTCTACAATTTGTGTCTGGGAGTCTCAGGCATCCCAATTTCCCTCCTGAAGATCCAGTGGTGCCTCCTACGCAATGGCCGTGGTCCCAAGGTGCCACCAGAGCAGGTGCTCCGGCTGCAGCGGGGCATCGTCACCAGCACGGCTGAGCAAGTAATCTTTCCCCGGGGACATGGGGAACCTGGGCACTGGGGGCGCTTGTGGGGCAGGAGAGGGCATGTGGGGCTGTGGGGCTGATGGGGGAAGTGATGTGCAGGATACAGGATGGTGGCCAGAAGGATGCTTGGGTGGTTACTGGGGTCACTGCTAGGCAGCTTTTGGGGTGATTATAAGTGTTGCTGAGGGATTGCCTCGGTGGTTTCCAGGGCAGTTGCTGGGGCAATAAGAGCAGAATCTGCTGTTGTTTCTGGAATGGTTGCCAAGATGAGAGATTGCCAGAGCAGTTGTGAGGGTGGTTGCTGGAGCGGTTATTGGGGTGATGGGAAATATTCCTGACGTAATGCTGGGCTGATTGCTGGGGCAGTGGCAGGGTTGTAGGGTGGTTGCCGGGGTGATGGGAGGTGTTGCTGATGAGGGGCCGGGGCAGTTGCTGTGGAGGTTGCTGAGGTGATGGGGTGGTTGTTGAGGGGATGCCAGGATGGTTGCCAGTTTCCAGGGTGGTTGCCAGGGCTGTTGCCAAGGAGATGTGCTACAGATGCTCTGCCGGCTGAGCGGCCGAGTGCAGGCGGCGGCGCGGGGGCTGCGGGGGCACCCAGGGGCACAGCGGGACCTTGCAGAGGCCCAGGAGCTGCTGCGGGAAGCCAGGAACGCCCGTGCGGTGAGCACCCCAACAGCATGTCCCAACAGAGAGCGAATGGAGCCTGTGTGCCCCAAGCCCTGAAACACCCCAAAATCCCCAGCACCGCAGGCATCTGACCCCACATTGAAGCATCTTCTCCCCCCTAGAAAATAGAACCCACAAAGAACCCCAGGAACATCCACAGGACCCCAACACCCCCCCCCCCCCCCATTTTTAGCGTATGACCACCAAATTGAAGTATCTCCCCAGGAAATTGAGCCCCCAAAGCGCCCCAGGAACCCTGCAGAAATCCCCTGCGTGCCCATCAGAATTGGAGTGTCCCACTCCCCTGTTGAAGCTCCTCCCCAGAATTGAAGCATTCTCCCTCAAGGAACCTCAGAAACATCCCCCCAAAATAGCGTCACCTTCAAAATAGAAACATCTCACTCCAAAATTGAAGCTTCCCACCCAAATAAAGAGAGTCCTTAAAAAGCTCAGAATCTTTATAGAAATAAAGCACACCTCCCCAAATGAAACAAATCCTCCCAAAGCTGAAACATCTCCCCCCACCCTGATGAAAATAGAACTCCCTCTCAAAAAACAGAAGCCCTCCCAACCCCCATCCCAAACCTCCCTCCAGAACAGTGCTCTTCCTCTCAAAAATGAGACCCCTCCAAATGAGATCTGCTCCAGCACCACAAAACCAGACCCCTGACAGCCCCCATAGGTCCCAAATTTTCACCATGACCTTGTGACCCCCCCATGACCCCATGACCTCCTATGAATCCCACTGCTCCCCCATGACCCAGGGACCCCTATGATCTCCTATGAACTATGATACCCTGTGACTTCTTTGACTTCCCATGACCCCATAACCTCATGACCCCCATCACTCCTATGGCCTCCCATATTGTCCCATGACTTCTATGACTCTCTTGACCCCTTGCATGACCTCCCCCCTTTTCCCGCCCATAACCCTATAACCTCCCTTTTGAGGAGTAGGAGGGAAATGCACAGGCAGTAGGAGCAGGGATGGGTGCCCTGGGAAGAGTGCACAGATGTCAACAGGAAAGCCATGGCACAGATGGAGCTGCACTGGGCCAGGTGTGGCAGATAATGAGGAGGGATTCCGCAGGTCCCTTGGTCAGAAGAAACAGTGAGAAGAGTGCACCGTCTGTGATGGATGAGAAGGGCGCCAAGGCAGCAGCAGGCACGGAGGTGGCTGAGGCACTCCATGAATTCTTTGCCTCGGGCTTCGCTGTCAGCCACGTCTCACACATCTCTCCAGGCGGAGCTGGGGCAGCAAAGTCCCTCCACCGCAATCAGGGAGCAGGTTTGAGAACAGCTGATGAGACCGAATGTGTGCAATCCCTGCTGGATCCAGATGCTGCTGTGGGAGGTGTTCAGGGACCTGAAGGCTGAGCGGGCGATCTGAGAGAGCACGGCTTCCCCAAGGGCAGCTCATGCCTTACCCACCCGGTGCCGCTCCGTGGTGGAGCGATGGCTGCTGCAGACCAGTGCAAAGCAACCGATGGTGTCATCTGCTGGGACTCCTGCAGGGCTGCTGGCATGACCCACATCACACCTCCCATATGGGAAGATACGGATTTCACCATTCCATGGGCGGCTGCAGCCCGAGGGCTATGGGCAGTGGCTCTGCGTCCAGGTGGAGGTGCTCACAAATAACATCCCCAGGGGTCCTCGTGGGAGCAGCGTGCCTGAACATCTTTATCAGGGATTGGATGTTGGGATCGGCGTGTCCTCAGCTTGGTGATGACCCCATGTGTGTGCTTCAGGAACACAACCAAAGGATGTTGATGCCACCATCCAGAGGGAGCTGGACAGACTCAAAAAGTGGGCACGTGTGAACTGAATGAGGGCCAGCGGGGCCAAGTGTAGCTGTTGGGTCGGGGCAATCGCAGCTGTGAGTACAGAGTGGGAGAAGAACGGCTTGAGAGCAGCCCTGCTGAGGGGGCCGGGGGTCCTGGAGGGTGAAAAGCCGGACGTGATCCAGTGCTGAGTGCCAGCAGCCTGAGGGCAACCGCAGCCCAGGCTGCACCGACGGAGGGCGGTGGGGCAGGGAGGGGACCGGCCCGTCTGTCTGCCCTCGGCAGCCCCATCCGGACCGCGGGAGCCGTGGGGCTGCGGGAGCGGGGCCGGAGGAGCACGGGGACGGCCAGGGGTGCAGCTGTGTGTGGGGAAAGGCCGAGGGAGGCGCTGTGCGGCCTGGAGAACGGACGGCTGCGGGGAGACCGCGCTGCGGCATTCCAGTACTCGAATGGAGCCTATGGGCAGGAAGGGGAGCGACTTTGAACGACCCGGCGCTGCTGCCCGGAGCTGTGGGTGCCCATCCCCGGAGGTGCCTGGGGCCATGGATGGGCAGCCCGAGCTGGGGGGCACGCAGCCCATGGCAGGGGTGGGGCTGGATGGTCATTAAGGTTCCTTCCGAAGCAACCATTTCATGATTACTCCCCACAACCCCACGACCTCATCACCCCGTGACCTCACCTGACCCATGACCTCACATGACCCCATGACAGCCATGACTGCCACGATCCCCTTGAACTCCATGACCTCTATGACCTCCATGCCCCTCCATGACCACCTCCGACTCCATGGCCGTGTGAACGCCCTCCTGACCCTGTGACCCCACAGCTGTTCCCCAGCCTGGCAGCGCTGGGACCGGCAGGAGCCGGAGCGGGGCCGCTGCAGCTCCTCCTGCAGGGCGTGGCTGGGGACGTGGCCAAGGCTGTGGACAAGGAGCTGGAGGTGAGCGCTGGGGGAACTGGGAGCGACTGGGAGGAGTCTGTTGGGGAGCTGGGGAGGGAGTGGGAGGGAATGAGAGGCGTGGGAAGGACTGGGAAGGACAAGGAGGGAGCTGGGAGGAACTGGGATGGAATGGGATGGAATGGGAGGGACGGGGGGGGGCTGAGAGGGAACAGAGAGGGAACTGGGAGACACTGGGAGGGAACTGGAGGAACTGGGGATGCTGAAGGCCCTCAAACCCCAATCGGGAAAGGAAAGGCCTTCCAGGTGGGGGTCCCCTCGCCGGAAGTCCCCCTCCCAACCGGAAGTCCCCTTCCCCAGGTGCTGCTGGAGGCGCTGCTGGGTCGGGCCGCCGAGCTCTGCCCCCGGGCGACGGCGGCTGGGGTGTGGCCCGGGGGGGCGTGGCTCGGGGGGGCGCCTCGGCCACGCCCCCCGCTGCCCCCCGGCCTGGCCCCGGGGGCGCTGCTGGAGCGGGCAGGGGAGGAGATCCGGGAGCAGCTGGGGTAAGGGGGCACTGGGGGGACTGGGCGCACTGGGATGGGTGGGAGCGAGGTGTAGTGGGAAGGCGCTGTAAGGGCACGGGGGGACGTTGGGATGTAATGCAAATGAGTGGGAGTGTGTAATGAGAGTGCTGGGATGGTCAGAGTGACTGAGACGGTGTTAAAGATGACTGGGAAGGCGCTGAGATATACCAGGAAACCACTGGGATGGACTGGGATAGATTAGGAAGTACTGGGAGAGCATTGGGGTGAACTAGGATAGATTCAAAAGGACTGGTAGGGCACTGTGAAATGCTGGGAAGCCACTTGGGAAGCGGCAAGTGGGGCATACTTGCAGGATGCTGGAATATAGTGGAATACAGTTGGATGTACAGAGAGGCACTGGGATATACTGAAATGGCACTGAGATATTCAGGGAGGGCACTGAGGGTTGCTGGGGGAGTGCTGAGGGGAACTGGGAGGCACTGGGACATACTGGGAGGGATGTGTGGGAAACTAGAAGGAGATCAGGGAACACTGGGAGGGGATTAGGGTGCACTGGAATGTAATGGGAGGGCACTGGTGGGCACTAGAAGGGGTGCTGGTGCTGCTACCACCCCAAGTGTTCCTGTGGTCAGGGAGGTGCAGCTGGCGCTGGTGACGTCCCTGACCCAGGCAGTGGTGGCTGAGCTGCTGCGGGAGCTACGCCGTGTCCACCAAGCACTGGTGAGTCCCCCCTGATCCCCCAACAGCCCCCTGGTCCTCCATAAGCCCCCAAAGTACTCCAACACCCTCCAACATTCTCCAATTCCCTGAGGTCTCCAATACCCATTGGGTTCTCCAACATCCTCTGGAGACCTCCAACCCCTGAGACTTTCCAAGATCTTTTGGGTCTTCCAACACCCTTCAAGGTCCTCTTACATTCTGTGGTGCCCTCCAATCTCCCAAAGTCCTCCAGCATCCTTCCAGCCATCCAACAACTTTTGGGTCCTCCAACACCATTGAGATCTGCAAACACCCCCTCAAGTTCTCCCACACTCCTTTGGTCCAAAACCCTACAATATCCTCCAGCCCTCTAAAATCCTCCCATGTGCCTCCAGGCCCAGCACCTGCAGGATCCGAGGAGTCCCCAGGGGCAGGAGCCATCCAACAGCACCGATGAGGAGCTGGGCGTTGACGTTGTAAGAAGAAGGGCAAAAGTTGGGGAGGACATCCAAAATCTGAGGGGCATGCAGTTTTGGGGTGTTGGGGTGCCCTGTGGATCAGAGGGGAGATCTGGGTGGAGTCCATGGGCTCTGGAGACCCCACTGCATATTTTGAGTGCCATGAGAGTTTTGGGAGGAAGGCCGGGGATCTGGGGAAGCTTATGCATGGGGGTGGAGCTAAGGAGTTTTGGGAGTCTCCTGTGGTTTGGGTGTACTTAAGGGTGTTAGATTCACGTGACAGTTTTGAGATGAAACCAAAGGACTTTTGGGTTCTTCCCTTGGAGGATGCACCGACGCTGCAGCGGCACAGGCGCTGCTGCCGCCGCACCCGCCCGCCTTCTGCCTTCATGGGTGAGCACCTGCACGACCGCGCACCATCACCTGTCATTGAACGTCGTAGTGCACTGTTACCCATCATGGCAAATGTCACTGCCTCCAGGGCAATCCGAGGGCCTGGAGTCACCGTCGCCCCCCAGGAGCTCTGAGGGGGATGCCAAGCCCCACCCACTGGTGAGTAGCCCTGCCTGCCATGACAGAGCCCTGTCCATTGGTCCCTAGCCCTGCCCACAGCCCCGCAGCCTGCCCTATTGGTGCTGTCTTTAGGCTTGTAGCCATGGCCACTGCTGGACACGCCCCCAGGCACATCGCCACGCTCCCAATCCCACAGCCCCGCCCCCCATCCCCTAGCTGTAACCACAGCCACTTGGCCCCGCCCACCGACACAGTCCCGCCCACATAGCCCCGCCCACAGACACCCCTGCTCAGCCCCTCATGGCCTCACCTCCAACTCATGGCCCCGCCCCCTGTCTGCAGCCCCCCCACCTTTTGCTCTTGGCCACGCCCACCGCCCAATGGCCCCTCCTGTGACCTCAGACCCACTATGTCCCCTGACCACGCCCACAAGATCTTATCCCCGCCCCTCGAGGCCCCGCCCCCTGGGTAAATGGGCGTGGCCTCCCTTAAAGGCGCCGTGCTCCTCCTTCCCCCAGCACTTCAGGGCCCCGGAGGTTCAGACCGTGGGGGGCTCCCCGCAGCAGGAGGAGTTTGGCCGGTGAGCTGGGAGTGAGGGATTGGGGTGCAAGAGGGCGTTCCCAAGGTGATGATGGAGGGATCAACGGGAACTGGAGGGAGAGGGGAGCTATTAGGGTCCAGGAGAAGGCAACTGGGAATAATACAGGGGGATCATGATGGACTAACTGGGGAACGTAAGGTGCAACTGAGATCTTCTGGTGCTGTGGGGTACAAAAATGGGGTAACTGCAACTTCAGAGGGGGTAAATGTGGAAAGTCTTACAGAGGTAATGGGTTAATCTGTGATCCTGGAGGGGTAGCTGATGTTGAGAGGGCAATAGGAGGGTTCTTGTGGGTCACACGGTCTATGTTGCCCCTAGGCTGCCCCCCACAGTGCCTCCCTATCCCCAGGAGCACAGCTGCAGCCCAGGCTCAGAGGCATCAGGTGGGTTCCCCCTCCCAAAAGCTGCCCATGATGCTTGAATACTCCCATAAAGCCAGGGGTTTCCCCAGAACCCTCTTCACGAAGATCACCCTCGCCAAAATTATTTTTCTCTCTCAAAAACGTGTCTTTAATTCACATTTCCCACTGCAGCCCCTCCGGAAGCTGGCAGCCCCGGCCTGGAGTGGGCAGGGCTTCCTTCCCCACAGACCCCGCCCCCTCAGGTGAGTGGCAGCGCGGGGTCAGCTAGGCTCCGCCCTCCGCTGCGAGGAGAGCAGCCCTGGGGGCGGAGCTTAGGGCTGCAGGCTCCGCCTTCCGCCTTTCTCCAGGCCCTGCCCAGGATGGGGGCTTGGCCCCAGCAGAGCTGCGGCGGCGAGGGAGGGGGCGGGGCCATCCCGGAGGCCACGCCCACTGCTCCCACAGGTGAGGGCGGTGCGAGATCCAGCGACAGCGGGAGGGGCGGAGGGGGGTCTGGAGGTGCGCTGGGATGCCGGAGGGGTTCAGGCGGCGTTCCTGGGGCGCTGTGGGATGCCGGAAGTCTCTCTCGCAGGGACCTCAGACAGGAGCCGCCAGCTGCCCCCCCCGAAGCCCCAGCGGAGGCAGCGAGCCCATTCCTGCGACAAGGCGGATGCCGGGCCCGGGCCGGGGGGAGGAGGTGAGGCCGCCGCGGTGCTCTTAAGGGGCCGCCGCTCACCTCACCGCTCGAACGGCCACTTCTCCCCACAGGCACCTGAGGGGCGGGCAGGACCTCACGACGGCCGCTCTCGGACGGGAATAAACTTTTATTGAAGAGAAAGCTCGGGAGGTCTCGTTAATGGCATTAAAACCACCGCGCCCCGCTGCACCACGCAGCCGCGCGCTTCCCACGGCCGCTCCGCTTTTCCCGCCCTTTTAACGGTTTCCCTCAGGATCTTCCCGCCTTTCCCGGAGCTCTGCTCCCCCCCATGGCGGCCCCCCCGGCCCGGGATTGGTTCCACTGCAATCGCTGCTACCGCCAGGAAGGCGCCCGCTTCTCCGTCACCAGCTGCGGGCACGTCCTGTGCGAGGCCTGCCTGGGTGCAGGTAGGGATCCCCGCAGAGCCCCTCACAGAACGGAGCAGAAAGGAGGTTCCAACTCCTGACCCGTAGAACGACAGCAAAGGGCCCCCGGGCCTTCAGCCCCACACAGCGGTGACGAGGAGGGACTCCGTGTACCTTCCCCACAGCTGGGGAACTTTTACCCTCACGAAATGCCCACCCTAATCTTTAGCCCACACACAATGGAGGCACGGAGAGGCCCACCTCTTTTAGCCCCCAAAACAACCCCAGCTCCATCCTGCTCTGATGGCTGCAGGCTGGGCTGTTCTGGGGGGAGGTGAGTGTTGTGCCCTACCTTCTGCCATGTGTGGGTCTTCAACCTCCTCCCCACACCACAGGGCCGTGCCCCATCTGTGCTGCTGTGTGCCGTCGCTTCCCCATCCCCGAGCAGGTGAGTGCCCCCAGGACACTTGGAAGGGTCCATTTCAGTCCCCTTTTCCGCACACTCATAGGACGCCCTTTTGCACCTCCCTCTTCACTTACACACACGTGCAGGCTGCCATTTTGTCACACCCTTCCCCCTACAACCAGAGGCTGCCGTTTTGTACCCTGGTGGGCTGCCACTTTGAAGGCACATGGCCATGTCGTCCTTCTCCCCCTCCTTCCCCCACTTACAGCTGGAGGAGACGCTCTTCTTAAAGAGCCCCACCGCCATCGCCCGGCAGCGCTTGGCACACATCTCTCAGGTGAGCAAACCCAGGGGGCTCTCCACCATCTATAAACACCCCCAAAGCACAATGAACCCCAAGTTTCTCCCCTTAGGCCTGGCGCTTCCAGCAGGCACAGGTGGACCTGCTGCTTGCCTCCCACCGTGACACAGCGCGCCGGGCTGAGGCGGCTCTGCGGGACACCCGGCGGGCATTGGACTCCAAGCAGAGGTGAGTGTTGCTGCCTGGGGGTGCCCTGTGCCCAAACCCAGCCTCACTCAGGCTTCCCACAGGGAAGCGGAGGCGCTGCGGAGGGAGAACGGGGAGCTGCGGAGGCACCTGCGGGAGGCTGAGGTCACCTTTTTTTCTTTGTTTGATGCTCACCCTTTCCTCAACACTTAGGCCTGCTTTTTCTCCTCAGTTAACCTCCCATTTTTCTATATTTAGCTGTCATTTTTTCCTCATTTAACCTCTGTCAATTTAGCTCCCCATTTTTCCTTATTTAGCTCCCTATTTTTCCTCATTTAGAATCATAGAATCTTTTGGGTTGGAAGGGCCCTTCCAAGGTCCCACGCCCTGCACTGACCCCCACAGGGAGCAGGGACCCCCACAGCTCCATCAGTGCCCCATCCCCTGCCCATGGGTGTCTGCAGTGACAGGGTACCACCACCTCTCTGGGCAACCCGTGCAGTGTCTCACCACCTTTACTGTAAAAAAAACTTCCTCCTTATATCCAATCTAAATCTCTCCTCTTTTAGTTTGAAACCCATTTCCTCTTGTTCTATCACAACAGATCCTGCTAAAGAATCTTCCCCATCCTCATAGCCCCCTTTGTACAGATGTAGATTTAAGCCCCCCTTTACCCATTCTATCCATTTTTCCCCATTTTACACTTTTACCAAATTAACCCTTCATTTCTGCCCCCTCTCCCCAGCACTTCTCCTTATTTTACTCCAATTTTTCCCAATTTAACTCCTTTTCTTCCCACAGGTCTCCCCTACCTGGCGGTCAAGCAGGTGAGCCCCAAGCATTTCAATTTTGGGGAAAGGGAGAACATCCAATGATCAGCATCCTGTATTTTTCCATGCAGGAGCAGCACTCCTCGGCCCATTGGCATCACTTCCCCAGCTACGACAGGTAGATCCCCCCCCTAATTTTACCCGTTTCCCCCCGATTTCAAGAGGAACTTTATTAAAAGGTCTCTGTCTGCTCCAGTCACCCCACAGCCTCGGCGGCAGCTCAGCGGGCAGGTGGTGAGGTGAGCAGAGCCCCCCAGGTTGCCCTATTGCAGAAACGGGAGGAACACCCTCAGATTTGTGTCTTTTCCCCTCAAATGTTCTCCCCTCCATAACGCAGCCGCTCAGCCTCACTGGAGTTCCCCTCGGCCAGCAGCACCCCGACGTGGCTGGGTGAGCCCCCAAACCTGCTGCACGTGCCGCCTCCTCGCCCAGCTGGCTCCCAAACCACATCCCTCTGGGCTGCACACTGCACCCCCACCTCTGCATTCCTGCAGCCCGATCCTTTTATCCCCGTGCCTGTAGCCGTGCCCCCTGCCCAGAGCCCTTTCACACCCCTGACCCCTGCGCCCACTCCCCAGCTTTGGCTTCCCCACTGCTCTCTTGATTCCCCCCCTTTCCAGCCTTGTCCCTCTCCTCTGACCCTGCCCCTCTCCCCCACAGCCCCATCTCCAGGCTCCACCCCCAGTCTGGCCCACAGGTGAGTGGTGCAGGGTGGGATTGGGGATGTGCTTTCTGGGCACCCGGGATGTCCCTGTGCCCACTAAAGCCCCCATCTGCCCAGGGCTTCCCTGCTGGCTTCCCGTACTCCGTTGTGGGGTCCTTTCACCACTCCGCCGCTGCCGGTCCCCGTCCCGCCCGGTGAGCCCCAGCACTTTCTGTCCGCCGGCCTGCAGCCCCGCCGTGGCTGAGCCCACCATGGCCTGGCCTCGACCAAGCTCGTACTGCAGCGCTGCCGTGTGCGGCTCAAAGAAGCGCCTTCTGGAGTGCTGCTGGAACCCCTGCATTGTCCGGCAGTGTGGGACCATCGCTGCCATTTTGGAGGTAGAGCGGTCGTCTTGGAAGCAGATGCCTTTCCTAGATCCTCTGCCTCCCTGCTGAGACCCCACCAGTTCCTGTCGTCTTCCTACTCTTTGCAGTTCTGTGGGATGTTTTGGGGCTGCCAGAGGGGTTCACTGCTCCCCCATGGTGCACCGCACCCCTCCAGGCCTGACTTCCACCTCCTGCTTAGCATCACCATGCAGGCCAAGGTAAGCTTGGAGCCAGGGAACCTTGTGGAGACAGAGCCTGGCTGGGGCAAGCCCAAAAACCTAATGCTGGGGATGCCAAGGCCCAATGGAAGCTCCTGTAGGAGCTGTGCCCTGTGTGAAAGGACCTTCTGGAGGGAACCCCATGGCCCCATAGAAGCTTCTGCTGAGCAGATTTTGCTCATGGGGATCCTTAGGTCCTATGGTGGGAACCTAAAGCTAGGTGTAGGACTCATGGTGGGAACCCACAGCTACATAAAAGCTTCCAGAGGGCTGATTTCTGCTTGAAGAGAGGGATCCATGGAAGGACCCCAAGGACATGTAGAGGTGTCATGGCACACTCAAGGCCATATAGGGACCCCCATGGAGCTGACCCTTACCCACCACATCCCCTCAGCCCTGTGTCCAGCCCCAGACCCTGCAGTTTGACCATGGTGTGTTATCATGGTGGTGGGATCATGGCCACCTGCCCATAAGGGTGCCCACATACAGCTGGTGGCCACCAGTCTGCTATCCTGTTTGTCCCTGCAGGGCTCTACTATGCAGGCAGTGAGGAAACCCACGTGGCTGGCTGAGCTCTTGTGGTGGGCTTGGGCCCCACCTGCAGCACCCTGGGCTGAGGCTGCAGCTGGGGGCTCCCAGTGGAGGCTGCCTGAGGCCTGCTCTGCTGTGCCATCTTCCAGGAAACACGATGTGATGCCTCCTTGGTTTGCCATGGTGCTGTGCAATGTGGGGCAGCTGGCTGCACCACATCTCAACCAACAGTGTGGCTGAGCTGCAGGAGCTCTGCGGATCACAGCAAGTCCAGCCTGAGGCTCTGCAGGGATGGAGGGGTGAGGAGCTGCTCCAGAGATTTTTCTTGGTCGTGGAGGGGCAACTGCAGTCTGAATCGGGGGTGTTTTGGCACAAGGAGTCTCCTTAGTTAAGATGGTTTTGGGGTGAAGGGACTTTTTTCTTAAGATTGAGGTCTACATGGTTGCAGAGTGAGGTTAAGATAGAAACAGCAGTTGTGGGGTGAGTTACGGGGGCTACCGCAGTTGGGGAGGGTGGTGATAAAAGCTGGAGGCCACCACACCTGAGGGCTGCAAGCTCTAGGTCAGTACTGAGCAGAGCCACGGTGCTGCTGTCTTGGGATGCAGAGGCACCTCTACGGCCAGGAAGGTGGCAGCTGCCCTTGGACTGAGGGCTGTGGCTGTGGACTGGGTCACCTCCCTCCCTGGTGTATAAAGTTTCCTGATTCGTTACAGCTGATGTCTGTCGTTGTTGGAGGTGGGACGTGCGGTTGGTTGCAGCTCCTGATAGCAGAGGGCGGGATGTGAGCGCACGGTGATGGAGGGCTCTGCCCCAGCTCGTGTGCTGTTGGAGCTGGGGGAAGTGAGAAGGGCGCTGCGCAGCCTGCAGGTGCTCCAATAGCTCTGGGATGTGTCGAGCTCACTGCGGGGCTCTGAATGGCCTCCAGGTCCCATCAGATGGCACAGGGTTCCACCGGAGTGTTGCAGAGTACAGGGAAGCCTTGGAAGCCTCTCAGGAAGCCTCGGTGGGGCCTAGAGCAGAGCAGCTTTGGTGGCGTCTGAGTGGCTGGGAGGCGGCTGCCCCGGGAAGGTGAACGAGGATCAGCTCTGGGTGGTGCTGGGAGGCCCGAGGGGTGCGGGGAGCTCCGCGGTACTTGGATGCCTCCAGAAAGCTTTAATCGCTACAAACTCCCAAATCCTCACTCGGCAAATCCAGAAACAGCTGCAACCCTTCTGTAAGGCAGCAGCCGCCCCGCAGCCCCTCCCTGACAAAACGCTCCCGAGGACGGAATCAGCAATACTGGTGGGCACGGGCACTCAGCTCTAAGAGAACAAATGCCAGCGAGCAGCGGCCGCCCCACGCATCCCTTAAAAACGCAGCTCTATCTGCTCCCAGCTCCCAGCTCCCGCACCGAGCCCCGCAGCTCAGACGAGCAGCGTCCACCGCCTTCCTGCTCCCGGAGCTCCATCTGCTCCGCGCTCTCGTCTCCGTCTCGGACTCGCGTGCCCGAGAGAACCCCGGAAACGGCTCGGTTCGCCTCCTATCGCGCCGCCCGCCCCGCCGCCCAGCAGCGCTGAGCAGACCTGCCCTGAACAGCAAAGCGCCGCAGCTTCCCGGCTTTATGGGGACTTGTCCAATCGCTACTGCGCGTGCTCCAGCGTGTGCCAGTCTTTGTCGTCAGTCGTCCAAGCTCTATGGTTACCCGTCCGCTAGGCAGCAACGCCCGCGACAGAAACGCGGAAATGGCATTTCTTTACGGTTGCCGCTCTGCACTGCCACTCTATGGTAAAAGGCTTTTCCGGCAGTACAGCGCATGCGCATACAAACGCGGAAGTAGCGGCGTTCCGATCCGTGCAGCGTGGCAATGAAACGAGCAGGGAACGCACTGCCCTGCTGTGCGGGACTCACTGCCCTGTGCTGCGCGGCGAGGGAGAGGGGAAAGGTCTGAGAGCAGTTACTGTGCGTATGTCCGTAACCGCACTGCGGAGCGCGCGCTGCTGTTCCTCACTCTGCTCCGCAGCGCAGTTTTGCATTCCCGCGTTCCTCTCACCCGGGTCACGTGGTGCCGGGTCACGTGGTGCCGGGAGCTAATGGCGGCAGGGGCGTCCCGTGCCGTGCGGCAGTGGGCGCGGGATGGGAAGGGGAGCAGAACGGGGCGATGGCGGGCGGAGCGCTGTCAGGTTGTGCTGCGCTGCAGGTACGGCCCAGGGTGTTGATTTGCAGAAGCCAATACACGATGTGTAGTAGCACATTTTAGAAGCAGAGCTGTTGAAGTGTTGCGCTGTGTGATTATTTCATGCTGAAGCAGCTGTTAGATGTTGTGAGGTTCTGGATGTGGCGCTGCAGACTGCAAAGCGGCTGTGTTCTAACGAGAGACCTTCAGCACATGAAACAACAATGAAACGGCGCAAACGGCTCAGCCGGCATCAAAAGGAGCCCCAGTAGGGCCTGCAGCTGCCGCAGGAGCTGAGCTGTTACTGCAGCAGGCAGCGTGGAGGTGCTGCTCCTTGTCTGCCAACACCCTGCTATATGGCATTCATATCATAGAATCACAGAATGGCCTGGTTTAAAAAAGGCCCACCGTGCTCATCTGCTTCCAAGCCCCTGCTGTGTGCAGGTCGCCAACCAGCAGCCCAGGCTGCCCAGAGCCACATCCAGCCTGGCCTCGAATGCCTGCAGGGATGGGGCATCCACAGCCTCCTTGGGCAACCTGTTGCAGTGCCTTACCACCCTCTGGCTGAAAAACTTCCTCCTCATATCCAACCTAAACCTCCCCTGTCTCACTTTAAAACCATTCCCCCTTGTCCCATCACTGTCCACCCTTGTAAACAGCCGTTCCCCTCCTGTTCATACACTCCCTTCAAGTACTGGAAGGCCACAGTCTCCCCGCAGCCTTCTCTTCTCCAAGCCAATCAATCCCAGTTCCCTCAACCTCTCCTCACAGCAGAGCTGCTCCAGCCCTCTGCTCATCTCAGTGCCTCCTCTGGACCCGCTCCCAGAGCTCCAAGTCCTTCCTGTGCTGGAAGCCCCAGACCTGGACCCAGTACTGCAGGTGGGGGCCTCACAAGAGCCGAGCAGAGGGGGACGATCGCCTCCCTGTCCCTGCTGGCCATCCCTTCTTAAAGGCAGCCCAGAACACAGTTCAGTTGGCCTTCCGGGCTGCGAGCGCACACTGCTGGCTCATATCCAGCTTCTCTTCCACCAGGACCCTCGAGTCCTTCTCCGCTCTCAAGATCTTCCTCCAGTCTGTATCAATACCTGGGATTGCCCCAACCCAATGCAGCACCCTGCACTTGGCCTTATTGAACACCATTAGGTTTTCAAAAGACAGGTGGCCAAACTGATCTCTATCCAAGGACGAGCAGATGTGCAGAAATAACGGCCGAGTGCTGAGTGAGCAAATGTTCTGATTGTGGTATCTATAAATTACAGGCGGTTGGCATTCTCCTCCCCAGTGTGTGTCAGTGAAGGAAGTTCACTTTGAGGATGAGTGAGGAAGAGCCCTGGATGAAGTCAAAGGCTGTCAGTGGGGCTGTCGTGGTGCTAAAAGGACGCTGGGCAGTAGAAGAGATCGTGGCATAGAAGACTGGAAACCTCATAAATCACTGCCTGAGTGAGGTGTGTATGTCTTAATTGCCTCGCAGGCAATTGATGTGTACCATCTCTGGAAATACAGTGAGTTCTGGATCCTGCCATCTTTGAAGTGCTAATGGTGGGAATATTCACAGTGCTTCACAGTGCTGCTGACAAAGAGCCGCTGCCTGAATGGTGACAAAACTTTGCCGTTAAGTTTCTCAGCTTCTTTCCTTCAATTCGGTGTCAGAATGAAGCTGTGAAGTGCTGCGCTGATTTTACCCAGAAGTTACCCTGTAAACCCACTGCAGCCACAGCATCAGCTCTGCTCCTTCTGCATTTCATGAAGTTGTGTTTCACCAAGGTTAATTGGCGCGTGCCTTGGAGTGCTGCCAGCACCTCCATTTTTGTGTGACAGACATCACGTTCCATTCAGAGCTCTACAAAAAGTGCTTTGGGCAGAGAAGCTCTTAGCAGGTCAGCACAAAACTGAAAGCACAGAAGTGAATAAAGGGAGGAGGCATTTTTTCACAGTTCTTTCAGTGTCTGCGATTCATTCAGATTCATTAAGTGGTGTTGATGGAAGACGTCACAGGTTGTGGCCAAACAAGAGAGGAAGCATTGCTGCAGGGAGTATCATTCATTGGATTAAAATGCTGAGATTACATTTATTTGATACAACGCACTGACAAAAAGCCTGCCTGGACTTGAGAGGCTGCTTTGTGTTCCCTCAGCCATAATGGAGAGTGGCAAACACAGCAATTTCTGTGCTTCTGGCTGTGTGTGATGCTGCACTCAGATGCAGAGCGGTTCTTCTGCTTGGAGCAATGTCCTTTATGCTTTGCCAGGAGTGCTGCGGGCAGGAGAAGCTGCAGGGCTGCCCTGTTGTGCTTCTGGTGAGAAAGAAAGCCTCCATGTTCACAGTGCAGCCTTTGGCACCTGGGATCCGTGGTTGGAGTCAGTGATCTTTAAGGTCGTTTCCAGCCTGAGTGACTCTATGACTCTGCAATCCATCCCTGTGTCCCCACGACCCTGACACACACGGGGAAGCCTCGGGCTGCTCCCTCCACAAGGATTGCTCACAGGAGCTTCCTGGGTGGACAGAATGCTGTTCTGAGATTGGCATCCTCAGAGCAGTGCCCTCAGCACAGCAAACACCACGGATGCCTTTGAGTTGAGGGAAATGAATTTGCACAGCGAGAAGGGAGGTGCTGAGCGCCCCTAAAGCTGGCCTCCAATCTGCGGCATACTTTTATCCAGGATTGCTGTGTGATGTTTATCACCTTTATTTTTGTATTTTCTCCTCGTAGGTTTTGTTTCGAAAGGAACACTCAGATGCTTTTTGGTGTCCTGAATTACTTTACAACTCGAGGTGGAAGTTGGAGTCTCGGGTCCAATATCCCAGAGCCACAGCTGATGCTGCACCCAGGAGTCCAGGCTGTGCTCAGGAATTACGCCAAGATGGGAAGCTGCTGTTGGTCTTCAAGGAGGTAGGAGTTTGTTATTAATACACAACATGATATTCCTTTTTTACTTTCTTTTTGGACCAGCGGTGATATGCAGGCTGACTCAGTGTGTTGGAAAAGTGTTTTGTGTTGTTGTCAGGTGACGTTAGCAGCAGAGCACTGGGCCGGGGCAGGGAAAGATGGAGGGAGGGAAGGGGGCAGGGAGAGGGGGATGGAAGAAGGAAAGGACAGGAACCTGCAGAGCGTCCTGAAAAGCAGTAAGGAGCTGTGGGAGGACTGCAGGGTGCCACGTGCTGTAACAGGTGTATCTGTGTGCATGGCCACGACTCGTTTGGGTCGGGGTTGTTGCTGCTTCTGAGCTCCTGCAGTGGGAAGAGCTGGAGCAGATGGTGCAGTCTGTGCAGACCTGTGGGATCCTTGGACAGCCCTCTGCTGTCAGGCTTCCTCTGTGTGCCCAAACTGTGAGCTGTGCCGTGCCTGGCTGCGCTGCTCCATGCCTGTAGCTGCATCTTTGTTTCCTTCTCTCCCACACAGAGCCCTGAGGTGCTCCCACCATCCTCTGCCCACCCCCAAAATGCTGAAGAAGACATTTGGCAGTGGGTCAGAGGAGTGCCAGCACCCTGCCTTCCCTCTGCTTGCAGTTCTCTCCTCCTCTGCCCCACAGGGCTCCAGCCTGAGCAATGGGAATGGGGTGGGGGACAGGGAGACCCTCATGTGCTCTCTCCTGCTGCAGCAGGACCAGAGAAGGGCAGATGAGAAGCTGCAGCTGAGCCTGATGGACCTGCACAACTGCAAAAGGTAATCAGGGAATTAGAATTCTCATTACTTCTCTTTCATTTGAAAAGTAAAGTAAGGTTTTGTCTTCTGTTTTCAGTCCCGGTGGTGTGGCTGTCAGCAGAGGAAGGCGTATCAAATCCATCTGTGTTACTATGAGCACACAAGGACCATGGAGTGAAGGTAGAAAAGGCTCCATGGGGATTTTATTTTTGGTAAACATTTTGGGTAGCAGCATCTGTGGAAAAGTCTTTTGTCTGACCTATTTCTGGTTTATTTCCTGCAGATTCAACCAGTAACCAGGCTGTATCAAACCAGAAGGTGTTACAGAGATCACCTGCAGTGCTTCAGGGGCCACAGAAGAGGCTGTTCAATGAATTCAGTATCTGACTTCTTACTCCTCCCTATGTGAGCTGCAGTGGCTGTTTTTGTTGTTCTTCGATCCCGGAGAAATGACACTGTAAACATTCAAGCCTTTGAGCAAACGAAGCGTCAGAAGGAAGACAACAAAACCCTCAGTGAGTGTTGCTGGAAGAATAACAGCAGTGTGCATTGAGTCTGCAGTAAATACTGCTGGTGTGATGTGTAACGTCAGGCAGTTATGAAGGTCGGTTGGGACGATGCTGGTGAAGTGGTGCTGAGAGCTGAAGGGAGACTGGATTCCTGATTTCTGCTGCTGAGAAACAGCCACGGAGGGAGGCAGTGGAATGGAAAACAGGTTGGGGCTCAAAGCCCAGTTTAGAAAGAAAGGCGTTCTCAAGCATCTTCAGGACGCCGCAGCTCTGACAGCAATCCCTGCTCACAGCAATTTGTCCTTCTGGGTTCTCAGAAACCTCAGGAATTCAGGACAGGATGGAGAACTGAGTGCTCTAACAAATGAGATTTCCCTTCACCAGCCCCACGTGGACCTCGCTTCTGACTTTTCCACATGCAGGAAAGTGACCTCGCAGCTGCAGGTGCTTCCAGTGTTTGTTCTGGGATGAATAACGGTGGGATCTGCCCCTCTGTCCCTCTCTGTTCTTTGCAGGATGTGGTTTCTCACAGCGAAAAGCTTTCTAAGGAGAACAAGAAGCAAAAGGGAGGTTTGAAAGCTTTGAGCGAATAGGAGAAGAAATGCTGGCAGTCTGTTGGCAGCTGTTCTGCTTCCTTCAGGTGTGCAGGATTCACTTTGCTCTTTAGGAATTAAGCCATTTTCCTTTAGCTCTGTACTTTGTCACTCGGGGAGGTGCTGGTTGTGATCTGATGCAACGCCTTCCTAAAACTCAGTCCAATCTCAATCCTTTTCTTACAAGGAGTGCCAGCAGGCTGTGAGCTCGGGCTTTGCAGGCCAGGGCAGCTGACACAGAGGGCTCTGAATGTTCAAAAAGGAACGAGAAGGCTGAGAATCAGGTGCTTTGTTTTTACCAGCTGTCCTCCCTAAGGATCCTGCCTGTCTGAGGCATGTTTGGTGGCTTTGGCTGGAGCTGAGCTTGGTGCTCATGGCTTCAGTCCTCTGTGATACAGAGCTGCACCACCGGCTGCCCACACCAAACATGCGTGTTGTTGGAGGAGATTACTACATGCATTTTGTTTTTTTAGAGTGTGAGATGCTGTGTGACTGTGGAACCAAACTCTGTGACGCAGGTGAGATTACAAAGCAGGTGTGGTTCATTCAGTGCTGCACAGACACCGGGTGCAGGGGGCATCGATCCGCCTGACTTGGAAAGTCGTGCTGCAGATACAGGCTGAACTCAGGCATCGTCAGGAGTTTCCCTGGATTCGGATCCATATTCATTACACCCCGACAGTTCATTAGTGTGCACACCCTCCCCTCTTGAGTGTGGATAGTGGGTCGTGGGATGAAGATTTGTTGTTTTCCTTGCAAAGGCTTCTGACCGTTTTTGCTGTCAACTCCTGGCCTTTCAGGGGGGCATCCCCCAAACCGGTTTCTTCTCACGCTGTGGACATCAAAACCCCTCCCTGCCAAATGTCCTCGGGCTGTTCTCAAACCTTATCTTTATGGCCTTCATCCCTCTCACTATCCCAGACACAGGGTCTGCCATCCCTTATTTTCTAACAAGCTCTACATTCCTGCTTCTATCAACTATCTCTAACTATTCCCCTTCACCCCCTTATTCTCAGTCACTGAAGCCTTCTTGCCTTTTGACTTTCACTTGTGGGCCCGTCTCACCTTTCAGCATGCCTTCAAACAGTCCACGTCTACAAGAAACTTCTTTTTCTCTTTTCTTCTTTTTTCCTTCTTCCCTTGGAGCAGCAGCTCAGGGAAATGTGGATGCTTTCTTCTCTGCTGCTGTGCTTCCCATAGCAGTATTCCAGGAATGGCTTCTGTCATTGATTGCTTTCTTGCTTATTTTAAATACTGAAGGGAACTTACTGTTCTTTTCTTCTACCCACATAAAACTCAGTTTTTTTCCATTGTAGTTTCGAGTTGTGCTCTCGAATGGAATGTACAGCTGGATCTACAACAGCTGCCAAGGAGCCTGCAGGCAAACGGTGATGGATTTCCCAGGTGAGGCCATAAAGTTCCTTGCCTCCTGCTGTTCTTGTATTATACTTACATAGGGTTGTATGTGGTTGCTGTACTGTGACTTTTATGACAAATCCATTCTGTTTCCCCAAGGCGATGCTGAGACGCCTCCTGCTGACCTTGGCATACCTCGTGCTTCATATTAATTCTTCCCTTGGGTTAAAAGCAGACCAAATCCTCGAAGCCGTGCCTGGGAATCCTGCTGTTACTGGAATGGTTCAGCCATTCAGTCAGAGCGCCCTGCAGCAGATCCTGGCATTGGTTGTGAATGGGAGAACTCGCAACAGATCGCTCGATCTCAAAACCAATCCGGTGGATATGGACGAGCCTCGGGCGCCCCGTGTGGGATCCCAGCATGGGGAGGCCGCATATGGAAGCTCTTCCTGCTGTGCTTCTGCTAAGAGTTGCTCGGCTGTTTTATGTTGCTCTGTTAATTGCTCCAAGCCATCCTTGGGTTTGCTGCACATCTCTGTCTGATTGATACCAGCTTTTTCGTCACCTCAGACACTGGCTGAAAAAAAATAAAAATAATAATAAATAAATAAAGCATGACAACATCAGTTTGCTGGTTATTAATTTATTTCCACACAAATTTCCACATCATAAAAACTTAGCGCAGGTTTGGTGGATTTGTCGAAGTTTTCGTTGGTTTTCTTCGTCGTCTCCCTTTCCCCCCCCCTCCCTCTTCTGGTTTTCCTCTGCCATCAAAAGGAACAGAGCGGATCGCCGGGGCTGCACTGCGGCTCCGCGACAATTCGCACGGAGCGGTTGTTTCCGCGGTCTCTGCTGCCCCCACGCGGCCAATCGGGGGAACTGCGGCCATGTTGGTTTGGTGCCGCAGGCCGCACGACGCATGCGCGCCCTGATGCGGAAGTGGCGTGTCGGAGTTTTGACCGCTCTGCGCAGAGAATCCGCCAGTCTTTATTGTGAGACGCCCTGCGGCCGGCGGCGCGGCTCGAAGACGCACCGAAGGCACGGATGTTTGCACGAACTGCCGAGCAGTTCATCTCCCGCGACCCCCCGCCCTGCGGCGTCCCCCGGCCACGTAAAAGCGCTCTCAGCGGCAGTGGAACGCGAGCAGCTCGGCGATTCACCGTCGCGGGGCTGGCGTGGAGCGGCTCCGACATCGCAGCCCCCGGGACCGGCACGGAGAGGCTCCGCGGTCGCCCCAAGGGGAGCATTGCCGAGTTTGCTAGGAGGAAATGGGCTTTTCCACCCGTCCTGTCCCACCCCCGGTAGCCGGGCTCCTTCACGAGGCAGTGCCGCACGGCTGCGGGCACGGCACCACGCGCTGCAGGTAAGCAGGCACGCAGCAGAGCCGCGGCGCTGTCGGCGGGGCGAGGAGTGCTCCGCGGGAAGGCGGCAGGAATACCGCAACAGAGCGGGAAGCGAGCAGGAAAACGCACCGTGCCAGGCTGGGAGGGGAAGGGCAGCGCCCCCCGATCTCGTGCCGGCCCTTGAACGGGTGCTGCTCACAGGGGAAAGCTGCGTGTCCGGGAATGCCCCGGAGCCCAACTTTGGTCACTGCCCAAACAGGTGAGGACCTCGTATGGATGCACATCTTTTCCATTTCACAGCGCGGTACAATGCGGTGCTCCCAGAGCTCGTTACGGTGCTTTAGGGCACCTTCCTGACCTTTTCCTCCTCTCTTTCCCTGGTTCTCCCCAGGTTTTTGCCTTGCTTTTCCCCGTTATTCCTGCTCCCTTCTTCTGTGTCACTTAGGTGTGAATATCAAACCCCCAGCTTTGCTGCTCCACAAGAGTTATGTGCTGGGATTGCATTGCTTCACTTTGTGCCCTGGGCTTTTTTCTGGGGCTCAGCATCAAAGCGAATGGCAGTGTGGGGGGGGGGCCTCATTGGCTGGGATGTGACCTTAGTGTTAACCTTAACGTGGACTCCAACCCTCATAGGAGCTGTAAAGATACCCATATTAACCCCCCGTGTAAGTCTAATCCTGAATGATTTTCCTTCAGTGTTTTTGCAGTGGAAATTTCCAGTGTTTCTGTGTGTAACGTGGGATACGTTGTTTTTCACACAGAAAGCTGCTGAACAGAGTGCATTTGGGACTGGGGTGTTCCAACCTAGGTAAAACTGGGACAGGCACCAGGTAAGGTAATTATACAGGGTAGGGAGAGTTTGGTATGGGACGAGTGTGCAGGTAGTTGAAAATACTGTCCTCCTATCGCAATAAAATGTATGGAACATAGCTAAAAATGATGGGTTGGTAACAGACATTGCAGGGAAGCGTAAGGTAGCTATGGAAGTGTATGGCAGTAACAGTGTTGGAAGGCTGTGAGCCTGAGATGCTCCTGAGTGCCAGGAGCGGCTTTACCTGCGTCAGACCCAGGGTCTGGCAGGTCTACCAGGATGGGTTTCCCTGACTGGTTGTGCAGTTTCTCCCTGGTCGTTAGGGGTGTGCACCCGTTGTTGCAATAATGAATAAAATGCCCTTCACAGAGATCATGGCTTGATTGGAAGTTGTTGATTTTGGGCTATTTCTCACAAGATGCCCCATGAGTCTTCCCTGCTGCAGGGAATTTCCAGCTCTCCCTGAGTCTTTCCTCATAGAAGGAGATGCTTGAGAGTGGAGACCCCTCCCCATCTGTGTGTCGTTGGTTGGACTCTCTATGGCAGCTCCCTGCTCCTGTTGTGCTGCAGAGCCAAGGACTGGACGTGGTTGTGCAGAGCAGCTTCACCAGTGCTGAGGGGAAGGTTCTGCAGCATTGACCTGCACCTCATAACATAACCCTGGTGGGTGCTGGCCTCCTTTGCTGCTTACAAGGGCAGATTCCTGCTGTTTTATGAAAGTTCCGTTGATGTTTTAAAGCCTTCTTGGCTTTCACAAACCACTGAGAAACACTCTGCATGGAAATGCAATGGTGCCAAAACTGTAGGATGCTGCAGATGCATGAGCTGGCACCAGCACTGCAACAGTGGGAAAACCCAGGAGAAATTGAGCTACCTGAAGAACACAGGGCAAAAGAGTTCCAGAAGAGAAGGATCTTCCTCCTGCAGTGCTGGCATCTTCAGCTGATTCCTGATATTTAGCAGGCTTAAATTTCAACAGCTGAAAACCAAACAGAGGTCTAATATTGCAGCTGGAGGGGTTGTGCACAGAAGTTATTTAAGCACTGATATGAGACTTTAATTTGTTGGAAATGTATGTTATGTACACTTTGTCAACAATTATCAAACTCAATTTATTATCCTTTTTTAAAATTTAATCAATTATTAATTATCAAGCTCAACTCTTGTGCTGGTCGTACACCACCTGTAAAATCTCACTTTGTGGTATTCACTGTTTGCATTAAAGCTTAAGGGACTTAAACCTCATTGCCACTGTGTTGTTTTTGGTCCCATCTCAAGGCATGGGTCTGTGTGCCCTCGCCCCATTAGTCACAGAACCAGGCCTGAACCACTGGCACACGTTCTGTACACATCTATCAGTTAATGTGACTGACCAGGCTGGGCTCACATTGCAGCCTTTCCTTGCATTTGTTGGTCAGGTTTGTGTCATCGTGTGTTCCTGTGAAGAGTTCCCCATTGATGTCATTTTGCATCTGAAAGATTCCTGACCAGAAACACAAAAAATTTAGTAACATTTTTAACTTTTCCTTGGAATTCCTTGAAAATATTCCCAGTTCTTTCCCTGCCTGAAGAGCAGCAAAGTGGGAACTTAAAGTTAGAGAAAAGTGATGCAGACTTCTACCTTGGTCAGCCATTCTGATGCATATATCCTCCTGCTTCATGCATGAAGGGCTGTGGATCGTTGTAGCCCCTGTTTGTAGCTTCTGGATGAGAAAGCCTCAGCCAGGAAAGAGCCAATAATGTGTCTTACATACTGCACAGAGTGCAGTTCCTGTCATGAAGGAAAACCTGCAGCACAGTGCTGTGAGCTGCAGCCCCTTTCCAGGTGTTTGAGGGCTTTTGTATGCAGAAAGGCTCCGGCATGGCTGCCCTCACACTGCTGCGTAGTTGGATATCAGCGTGGTTGGTGCTCACATTCTCATGCCTTCCTGATGCAGGATAAAGGTTTAACTGCATAACAGAAGGAACCAGGCTTTGGAGATGTGCTGTTTTATGAGGGATGTCCTAACGCCTCTACCAACTCCTGTGTTTCCTTCCTAGTTCTGCAGATTTCAGAAGTTGTTTGTATTAACCTAGGATCAGTGCTTCCCCTTTACATTCAGCAAAGCTAATAGCATCTGGAGAGACTGTGGGAGAGTCCTCTCTCAGTGTGCCTCGTCATTAAGGGCAGTAAGTTAATAAGTGATGGGAACCAGTCCTGGTCAGAGCCACTGATCAGCAGGGCCGTCTGAGAGCATGGAAACGTTTGTTGCAGCAGGGTGATCCGGGCAAGGACTCCTCAGGGGTCTGCGCTTCTCTGGGTTACATGCTCAGCTTTGTTGCAAAGGGGGCTGTGGGGGTTGTGTCCCCATCCTGGGCTGAGACCTTGGGCCGCCCGGCAGGAGGGCTGTGGGAGCAGCAGCAGGAGGCTGCCGCTCTGCTCTCTGTGCACTGCTCACAGCACCCTGCTCAGCTGCTTGCAAAACCTAACTGAGACGTTTCCTTCACTCACACGACTTAAAGGTGCTGCATGACTTAAAGGTGCTGCATTACTCTTAGCATAACGACCAGGGAACACAGCATCAGAAGGAACGCTCACTTTTTAAGCATCACAGAGGCTCAGTAATGAGCTGCAGCAATGTTTTACATAGGATCACAGTTTAAGTCCTGGCTCTCCTGACTTCCCATTTACTGAAGATGGCTCTGTTTGGTATGGCACTGAGCACATATTTCAGCTCTGTGATCCACAGCTGTGACTAGCTAATGATCTCAATAAATCCTACTTACACAGAGACAAGAAGAGAACTGTGCAAATGCATTTCTGTCCCACATCTATTGATAACTGGAATCGTGCATAAATGAGCCTCAGCACATCAACACCAATAACTCCTTTTTTTATAGCAGATACAAAAGATGGGGCAGTGGAGCTGGGGGTAGTTTAAGGAATTTTATTTCAGTCGAGTTACAGTTGCAGAATACATAGCATAAGTTGACAGTTTTTGTAAGAAAAGGAAACATGCAGTGGGCAGAAAGGGGTGGATAAAAGTGTAAGAGCTGCGATTTCTCAAATACAGCTGTGAAGGAGGCCACAAATCACCTTTCCAGACTGATTTTTTCACAAACAATGATAACTGTCTCAGCACAGCATTGTGGCTTTCCGAGCAGCAGTCACACCTGGCAGCTGGATAAAATGTCTTCCACCAGCCTCTTGTAGACCCACGCATCCCCTCTGAGCCTCTGTCTCCTGATTCCAACTGCTTCGTTCTTGCTGAGCTGACACACTTCTAGCTCAAACTTCATGCATTCTTTGCCAAAATCTGGCTTTGTTTGGCATTTCAGGGTGTAGCTGTACAAAACAAAGGCGAAGCAGAACAATCATTTCGTCATGTTTCAAAGCTGGCGTTGGACAATTTTAGATGAATAAAAGCACTTCATTGCAGTACTCCACTGGCATTCACATGACTGGGAAAACAGCCCCTGGT